GAAGCTCTTTATCTGACCTTCAATTCTGAATGATAGCTTTGTGGGATAAAGTAATCTTGGTTGTAGGTTCTTGGTATTCAGCACTTTGAATATTTCTTGCCATTCCCTTCTGGCCTGCAAAGTTTCTGTTGAGAAATCAGCTGACAGTCGTATGGGTATTCCCTTGTAGGTAATTGAGTCTCTTTCTCTTGCTGCTTTTAAGATTCTCTCTTTGTCTTTTGCTCTTGGCATTTTAATTATGATGTGTCTTGGTGTGGTCCTCTTTGGATTCCTTTTGTTTGGGGTTCTCTGCGCTTCTTGGACCTGTAAGTGCATTTCTTTCACCAGGTGGGGGAAGTTTTCTGCCATTATTTCTTGAAATAGGTTTTCAAAATCTTGCTGTCTCTCATCTTCTGGCACCCCAATAATTCTGATATTATTCCGCTTGAAACTGTCCCAGAGGCTCCTTACACTATCTTCACACTTTCGGATTCTTTTTTCATTTTGCTTTTCCAGTTGGGTGTTTTTTGTCAAATCTTTGGTTTGATTCTTGTGCTCCTCTGGTCTGCTATTGGGTATAATATTCTTTATTTCAGTCCGTGTATGCTTACTTTCTAATTTCTTTATCGTAGCATCGAGGGTCTCATTAGTTTTCGTGAGGCTCTCCACAAGTTTTTTGCAAGCCCTCAAAATTGCGATTCTTAGCTCCATATCCTCCATTTCTGTCACGTTTTTTTGTCTCCGCATCTTTTATGCTTTCTTGGTGCACCCCCTTGTGGTCTTTGTGCGCAGTCTTGTTCTAGCTAAGCCTTAATTGTTGTAGTTAACACTAGAGGGATTTGACCACCAGGCCGACTGGCTATAGGAATCAGCTGTGTGGAAAACTTCAGTCCTCTGGGGAGGCGCTAGTCCAGCCTTTGCCTGAGGCGATCGGCAAATGGCTCTGCGCAGGGCTTGGGCGGGGCGGGCTCAACAGGGCGGGGGGAGGGAGCAGCTATGGCTGCTCTCAGTCCGTCTCCAGGGGCTCTGCCTCTCTGTCCCCGTAACCGCTGCAAACCTCGGAGGGACCGTAGCCAGACAGTCCCGCTTCTCCCGTTTGAGTCTGGGTCCCTAGAGACTCGCCCGGATCTGTAGCCCAGAGTCTGAGACTCCCTCCTGATTGAAAACGACAGCCGCGCCCTCAGCCACCAGCCCGCTTTGTGCGCGCACCGCCGCACCACCGTACCTTTAAATTTTCCACACTGCGCCTCCTCTAAGCCTCGTAATGCTGTTGTTTTTCCTTCTAGTTGAAGAGTCTCTCCTCAGCCAGCCTTCCTGTGGTTCTGGGTGATGTCCGTTCCGTCTTTTAGTTGTATTTTTGAAGTGGTTGTTTGAGGCAGCAAACTCCGGTGTTTACCTACGCCGCCATCTTGGTTTCTCCCAGACACGTAGTTTTTTTAAAATTCTTTATTATTTAAAGTATTACATGTAGTATTACATATGTCTCTTTTCCCCCCATTGATCTCTCCCCGGCCACCCCCACCCCCAGCACATGTCCTCACCCCCCTAGTGTCTGTGTCCATTGGTTATGCTTATATGCATGCATGTAAGTCTTTTGGTTGATCTCTTACAGCCCCCCCAACCCTGCCCTGCCCTCCCTCTGAAGTTTCAGAGAGAAAGGGAGAAGGAGAAAGAGATAAAAACTTCAGTGATGAGAGAGAATCATTAATTAGCTGCCTCCTGCACACCCCCCTACTGAGGATCGAGCCTGCAACCTGGGCATGTGCCCTTGACTAGAATCAAACCCAGGACCTTTCAGCCCACAGGCTGACGCTCTATCCATTGAGCCAAACCAGCTAGGGCCAGACACGTAGCTTTTGAAGTCATGGCCTGTATTTTGAGTATCCTTTCCAAACCAAACACTTTGGTATGTTAACAGGATATGTGTGCCTTTATGTCTTTATTAAGAATAACATGTCATCTGAAGAACTTCTCACTGTTGAGGATGTTGAGGATTTTGTCTTTGTTGCCAGCATTTCCGATAAGAATCTGTTTTGTACAAAGGCCCTAGGGGCAGTTTCTACTGAGAAAATCTTAGGAAACATACTTGCCATTTTTGGAAAGTTATCTGTTTTCTGTCCCATCCCCCAGAAGCTCCCAGGGCAGTTGCAGTCTCCAAGCTCAGGGTTACTCCTCCTGAATGGTGTATCTCAAGCATTCCCAGTCCATGAGGTTACTTCTGTAGAAGCTTTACCTCTTCTCCCCAAATCCATTAGTAATTCCGTGGAATCAGTGGGAGGCCTAACCCCAGGCCAAATCCATTAGTAATTCCTTGGAATCAGTGGGAGGCCTAACCCCACTCTTGAGAGGTACCCTGGGCGTGCCTGCTTGCTGCGCTTGCATTTCAAGTGAAATGTTCCAAGTGAGCCATTGCACAGGCCACCTGTGGTCACAGCCATGTCTGTACTCCGGCTTATTGCCATCACATAAGCAGACTTTTGTTGGCCTCAGCCCAGCTTTTGGAGCCAGAGTCTCAGGAAAAGTGTGAGCAGTAAGTTGGCCAGAAGGGCTGAGTGCCACTATAGTTGGGGCTCTGGCAGGTTTCTAAGAAATCTTACCCTGGGAGAAGCCGGTGCGTCAGGAGACCTGTGGATGGTTACTGTGTTTGGGTTGAAGTGCTCTGAGTCCTACCACATCTGGCATGAAAGTGCTGTCCAGGTCTTTATCCTGGCGTCAGCTGTGACAGTGCTTGTCTCGTGGCCAGTGAGAATCATGAAGTGCAATGTGGGCAACTCCGTGGTTCCTGCCACAGGGCCGGTGGGAGGGAGTCCCTGGAGGGCTGGTTTCTGAAACACACACTGACAGGCTTCTGCTCCTACTTTGCTCCCGCAAGCCCCCTGCCATGTGCCTGGTGCCCCTGCTGATTTGTCTTGAGATTTGTGTGTGTGACGTCCCATCCTCCCTTCTCCAAAGTCCATGCTTTCTAGGCTGGGATTTAAGGCCTCAGCCTGCTTCTCCTTGGCATCTTCTGGGTCTGTACCTCTCAGCAGTGTTTTCCCCTCTCTGGTCTCCTGGGGATTCTTTTCTTTCTTTTAAACCCAGCTCAGTCCTGCCGTCCCTAGTCTTGCCTCCTAGGATCGGTCCCACTGGGCCCTCCCTCTGTCCCCCTCTCGAAATAGTGAATGCTACTGTGGGTTCAGGTGGTTGTTTTCCATATACTGGTCTTCCTGACTCACTCACATCCCACTGAAACTGGAAATCCCATCTTATTTCGTTCTATAGGTCTCCTTCAGTGTTCTTACCCTTTTTTATGCCATGGACCCCTTCCTAAATTCATAAAATAAAATACATAGAATTTTAAGAGAAACCGATTCTGTTGAAATATATATTTTAAAAAATTTTGATAGAGTAGTATGTGCTTCTTCATGAATATGTTAAACAACAAGATCTAGCGGCAGGGCTAATAACCTACTGAATTTCAAATTAGTGATACATGTGAATGGTATCTCGAGATACCCTGTTACAATTATAATGTGAAATGAAAAGGAGAGATTTTATTGGTGACAGCCAGAGGTACTGCTAATACTACTGTGGCTTTCTGTTTACATTTAAAGTGGAAATAAATACTACCTTTTACTTACATGCTAGTGAAAAGGACACAGTTCCCCCCGCCCCCATCAATTTCACAGGCCCCTTTGATTCTACCCCCAAGTAAATTGTGACCCAGGTAGGACACTTCTGGGCCAGCACCTTCACATTCACGTAGCAGGCAGAGTAAATGTTTGCCAGCTGACAGGTTACTGCTCCGAGATGTGCTGCCTCAGTTCTTCTCCAGAGGCCTTTACCTGCCCTCATACCTCTGATTAGTGCCTCCACTCCCAGCTTGGGCCGTCCCTTCTTGTGTAAGCTGGTAGGGAGTTGGGTGTGGGGCTTGCTGCTTTTCAGCACTCTGTGACCTTTTGGCTTGAGGGAAAATTGGCAGCAGGGAGTACAATGTCTGTGGGGCCCAGGCCAGACCCTTTCCCCACCAGCCAGGGAGGCTGAGGATGAGAGCTGACCTTCAGGATGTCTTTCTACCGTGAGAGCATGTCTGCTTCCAGGCATGATACCCCGTAAAATGCTTTGCTTCCTGTGTCTGCAGGAAAGAAAAAAGGCGAGGGCTTGGATTCTGCTGCTGGGAAGGGACAGGGTGTATGTCTCTGGCCCTTGGAGCTGACTCACCAGCCTTTTCCTCTTTTCCACAACCCAGGGCAAGCTGGCCTCATTCTTCCTGTCTCGGGTGGATTCCTTGAGCCCTCAGCTGCAGCAGGTAAAGGAAAAGGAGGCAGATGAAAAGCCTGGGCCTGAGTTGGAGTAAGAAAACTTACTTCTCATTCTTAGCATTTCTCTCTCTCTTTAAAAAAAAATATTTTTATTCATTTCAGAGAGGAAGGGAGAGAGAGATAGAAACATCAGTGATGAGAGAGAATCATTGATTGGCTGCCTCCTGCACCCCTCTACTGGGGATTGAGCCCATAACCCGGGCATGTGCCCTGACCGGGAATCGTACTATGATCTCATGGTTCATAGGTTGATGCTCAACCATTGAGCCATGCCAGCTGGGCAGCATTTCTCTCTTGGTACTGCTTGGACCACGTTCCCACTTCCCTTCCTGTTGGCATACTCAAGAGGCACAAGATCTTTGTCCTTCTGCCCCATAGTCCCTTTCCTATGTTCCTAGAGCTGTCTGTGATCTCCTTGTCTTGGCATTGGTGGCGCTGGGGGTGTCTGGCTGGGCTGGATTCCCACCTGACCAAGCTTCTGACCTTTCTTCTGCAGTTGGCGTGCGAGTGTTATTCCCGGCTGCCCTCTCTTGGGGCTGGCTTTTCCCAGGGCTTGAAGCACACTGAGAGCTGGGAGCAGGAGCTACACACCCTGCTGGCCTCATTGCACAGTCTGCTGGGGGCTCTCTACGAGGGAGCAGAACCAGGTAGGGAGCATGGCTAGTAGGCAGTGGCAGAGTGGTTGGGGAACGCGGCAGCAGGGAACCAGGAGGGTGGCCCAGAGAGTGGGACAGTTGATTTCTAGGCAGAATGGTGGGTCATCCACCAGAAATGAAAAGGGAGGGGACGGGCAAGCCCTGGAGTGAGAAGCTGCTGTGTTTACGTCCAGCTCCTGTGCAGTATGAAGGCCCTGGGGTGGAGATGCTGTTTTCCCTCGAAGATGCTGATGCGCATAACCTTTTCCGGCTTCGGCAAAGGTTTTCCGGTCTGGCCTGCTGCCTGGGGCTCATGCTCAGGTGAGTGAGTGCTGGAGGGAGCATGGGCTGGAGGGGGAGGGATTGATCTGGGATGTGTTCCGCATCATGAAGAAGGAGGTTGAGGTGGGCCAGTCATGCTGGGGAACCTGTGCTGAGGATCTCCCTGCTCTGATTCTCTCCAGCTCTGAGTTTGTGGCTCCCGTGTCCATCCCTGTGCAGGAAATCCTGGATTTCATCTGCCGGACCCTCAGCATCAGTGCCAAGAATATTGTAAGTGATGTTTGTCCTCCGTTCACAGTCCTTAGGACCCAGGGCAACCAGGAAAGTAGTGTGGGATCTGAAGCTCCCCAAATGATGTCATCCCTAATGTGTCTGGCCAGCGCCTTACTTCTATCCGAATGCCATTATTCCTTGTGCTTCTCCCGACACATGCACAGGCTCGTTTCTCTCCCCTGGTGCGAGGACACCTGTGGCACATGCTTCGAGGGGAGGGCAAGCACGGGGGCCAGCCAGACATTGCAGAGAGGCAGCCACCCTCCCCTCATCCTCCTTCCGGGCTCTGTTTTATAGGATCGGGGTTTGACCTTGTTGGGAGAGGTGGGCCGGGGTGGGTTCCTTACATGTGTGTCCATATGTATTTAGTCACACACATCTCCGTCTCCCTTTCCCTCTGTGTCTCACTTCCCTGCTCCTTTTGCCAATTTCATTCTGCAGAGCTTGCTTGGAGATGGTCCCCTGCGGCTGTTGCTGCTGCCTTCTATCCACCTGGAAGCCTTGGACCTGCTCTCTGCGCTCATCCTTGCGTGAGTGGACTAGGAAGAGTGTGATGAAGGGACTGGGACGTACTGGGAATGGAGGTCACTGTTGTGTCTTCGCCCCCAGGTGTGGAGGTCGGCTTCTGCGCTTTGGAGCCCTGATCAGCCGCCTGCTTCCCCAGGTCCTCAATGCCTGGAGCATTGGTAGGGATACTGTCTCTCTGGGCCAGGAGAAGCCTTACAGGTGACCATCAAGGATGGGGATCAAGGGGGGAGGGTGGCGAGGCCATGCAGGTGGGCTGGGAGCTGAGGGAGGAGAGGCATTCATAAGCCGCCCTGCTCACTCCACAGTGCCATGCGGACCAAGGTGTATGCTGTGTTAGAGCTGTGGGTGCAGGTGTGTGGTGCCTCGGCAGGAGTGCTTCAGGCAGGAGCCTCAGGAGAGGCCCTGCTCACCCACCTGCTCAGTGACATCTCCCCGCCAGCCGAGGCCCTGAAGGTGAGTGAGGCTCCGCCCCCACTCTCCTGTGCCAGGACTTTCATCCTGCACATCTGGTCCATGTGAACCTCCTCATTCAACACCGTCGCCTCACTCTGTCCTGCCTTCCTGTTTGCCTGTGAGTGTGATTTATGTTTCCCTCCACCACCAGCTGCGCAGTCCCCGGGGGAGCCCTGATGGCGGTTTGCAGACGGGGAAGCCCAGTGCCCCCAAGAAGCTAAAGCTGGACATGGGGGAGGCTGCGACCCCTCCCAGCCACCGCAAAGGGGATAGCAATGCCAACAGCGATGTGTGTGCAGCTGCGCTGAGAGGTGGGTGAGGCCTGTGCCCTGCACCTTCCGAGTGCGGGGATGGCTGGGGCTTTAGCCCCAAACCAGGTGTTGAAGTAGAGGGTGTGGATAGAATGCAGAACCAGCTAAAAACCTTCAAGAGAGGCCAGAGGAGCAGAAGCAGCCATGCAGCTCTCAGGGCTGCGGCAAAATCTTGGATCTGGGCAGGGGAGGGGCGTGTGCGAGTGTTGGGTCGTTTATATTGCCCCCAGGGTCTCATTTATCTTGTTGCATATCCTCTGCACCTGCCAGGACAGCTGTAGCAAAGGTATATCCCTGCCTTGGGGAGCTTACATTCCTTCAGGCAGGCTGCTCAGTGGGGTTTCCTCCCAACACAAGTGCTAATTACATGCAGAAGTATAGTCAGTGACTGTGGTTAGTGGGTGACTTTCCTTGGGGTTCCCTGTATTTCACTGCCTGTCACCCCACCCCATGTGAAGAGGAGAGCCAGTGCTTCTCAGACATATAAGTGCACATTTACAGTGCACCTATATCATCCGCAGCCCTGTGCAGTGCGATCCTCATTTCACGGTGGAGAAAGGAGCTCAGAGCAGTTAAGTGACTTGCCTGAACCTCGTGCTGCAGAAGCCCTTCTCTGTCCTGTTAGTAGCAGGTCTCTTACACACTGTTCTTCTTCCCAGGCCTCAGCCGGACCATCCTCATGTGCGGGCCACTTATCAAGGAGGAGACTCACAGGGTTAGTGGAGCCTGGTCCCCACGGAAATTGGGGCGGGGCCACTGCCTGTCCCTGTGAGGGCTGTGCCCCTGGGGAGCGTCCATTGCAAGTTGGGAGGGGGCCCTGGAGAAGGGTTGGGTCGTCGAGGTGGTGTCTCTACTTGTGCCCTGCGTCCTTTTCAGAGGCTGCACGATCTGGTCCTACCCCTCGTCATGGGTGTCCAGCAGGGCGAGGTCCTAGGCAGCTCCCCATATACCAGCTCCCGCTGCCGCCGGGAACTGTACCGTCTGCTGCTGGCTCTGCTGCTGGCGCCTTCTCCTCGCTGCCCACCTCCTCTCGCCTGTGCCCTGCAAGCCTTCTCCCTGGGCCAGAGGGAAGACAACCTTGAGGTAACTGCAGACGGGCCGAGTCCATCTCTTTGGTTTGAGGGCTCTCTTGTTTCTGAGCTGGCAGGCTCTCCTCTCTGGTACCATAGCACCCTGTATTCCCGATGCTCACACTTGCTTCCTCTTCCTTCCTCAGGTCTCTTCTTTCTGCTCGGAAGCACTGGTGACCTGCGCTGCTTTGACCCATCCCCGGGTTCCTCCTCTGCAGTCCATGGGCCCCACCTGCCCCACACCTGCTCCAGTTCCTCCTCCTGAGGCCCCGTCTCCGTTCAGGGCCCCACCCTTTCATCCCCCGGGCCCCATGCCCTCAGCAGGCACCATGCCCTCAGCTGGCCCTGTGCCCTCGGTGGGTCCCCTGCCCTCAGCAGGCCCCGTGCCCCCGGCAGGCCCAGTGCCTCCAGCACGTCCTGGTCCTCCAGCCACAGCCAACCACTTAGGCCTCTCTGTCCCAGGCCTGGTGTCTGTACCCCCCCGGCTCCTTCCCGGCCCTGAGAACCACCGGGCAGGCTCAAACGAGGACCCCATCCTGGCTTCCAGTGGCACTCCCCCACCTGTGATACCCCCAGATGAAACTTTTGGGGGGAGAGTGCCCAGGCCAGCCTTTGTCCACTATGATAAGGAGGAGGCGTCTGATGTAGAGATCTCCTTGGAAAGTGACTCTGATGACAGTGTGGTGATCGTGCCTGAGGGGCTGCCGCCCCTGCCACTCCCACCCCCCTCAGGCAGCACCCCACCCCCTGTTGCCCCAGCTGGGCCACCAGCAGCCTCCCCTCCTCTACCAGCCAAGGAGGAGCCTGAAGAGCTTCCTACAGTCCCGGGGCCTCTCCCTCCACCCCCACCCCCTCCTGTTCCTGGCCCAGTGACACTCCAACCACCGCAGTTGGTGCCTGAAGGAACTCCTAGTGGGGGAGGACCCCCAGCCCTGGAAGAAGACTTGACAGTTATTAATATCAACAGCAGTGATGAGGAGGAGGAGGAGGAGGAAGAGGAGGAAGAAGAGGAGGAGGAAGAAGAGGAGGAGGAAGATTTTGAAGAGGAAGAAGAGGATGAGGAAGAGTATTTTGAAGAGGAAGAGGAGGAAGAGTTCGAGGAGGAATTTGAGGAAGAGGAAGGTGAATTAGAGGAAGAAGAAGAGGAGGAGGAGGAGGAGGAGGAGGAAGAAGAGTTGGAAGAGGTGGAAGAGTTGGAGTTTGGCTCAGCAGGAGGGGAGGTAGAAGAAGGAGGACCTCCACCCACCAGCCTGCCTCCAGCTCTGCCTCCCCCCGAGTCCCCCAAGGTACAGCCTGAGCCAGAGCCAGAGCCTGGGCTACTGTTGGAAGTGGAGGAGCCGGGGGCCGAGGAGGAGCGTGGGGCTGAGACTGCACCCACACTGGCCCCTGAGGTGCTCCCCTCCCAGGAGGAGCTGGAGAAGGAAGGGGGAAGCCCCCCAGCGGGGCCACCTCCTCAGGAGCTAGTGGAAGAGGAGCCCTGTGCTCCTCCGCCAGCCCTGTTGGACGAGGGGACTGAGGGTGGGGGTGATGAGGTCCCCCCGCCACCAGAGACATCTGCAGCCGAGGAAATGGAGACGGAGACGGCCCCTCCCCAGGAAAAGGTGAGTGGGCCAGGCTGGGAGGGCATCTCTGGGTGGGGAAGGTGGGGCGGGGTGGGGTGGGGCTGGAGGAAGAGGGGGTTGCTTGTGTTAGGGAAGGGCTTTGCCCAAGCCTGACCCACTCCTGTATGTGTGTGAGACTGTTTTGAATCATGTCTTTGTCCCTCAAAGGAGCAGGATGACACAGCTGCCATGCTGGCTGACTTCATTGATTGTCCCCCTGATGACGAGAAGCCACCACCTGTCACAGAGCCTGATTCCTAACCGTCTCCTACACCCCCACTCGTTTGCAATAAAGTTATGTACTTCGGCATCGACTGCTGCTTCTGCCTTTTGCCACAACTGTGTCCCCCCCTCTATCCCTTGCCTTCGTCAGCACCTCCCTGGCAGGAATTTGGCAAGTTCACCGCAGGCCTTCTGACCTGTTCTTGAGATGTGGACATTCCTGGTCAGTGTCTGATCCCTTTAAGCAGTTGCATATCCTAGGCCTTGCTGGGGTGCGTGTGTGAGCAGGAACCTAGAGGAGTAGACGTGAGGGCATTGAAATCTATGGGCTGGAGGTAGGTGCCGCCTGGTTCTTTCACTCAGTCCATTGAAGGGTGAACATAAGGAAAGGGCCTTGGAAATGCAGAAAAGGGAGTGACTTCCCAGCTGCGTGTATTCTGCGGAGTGATGTTTGAGCTGATTTTGGGAAACTTAGGGATTTTAAAGTTTCCCTCAACTTGTTTTTTCAAAAATGTCAAGCCTGCAGAAAAGTTAGAAGAATAGAATAGTATAATACCTTTGCATAGGTTAATCAGTTGGTAATATTTTCTCATGTTAGTGTTTATAATGTCTGTATCTGCATATAGACTTGTATTTATATATGTACTTAAATCTGTCTGTAATCAATACACAATTATATGTGCACACATTTTTTGTGTGTGGGGCCATGTTGCAGACGTCATGACCCTTCACCTCTAAGTTCTTCAACATTAACTCCCAGGGTTAAGACATTTTTCTACATAATCACAGTACCACTATCAGACCTAAGGAAAGTCACAGCAATAAAATATTACATGTACTATATTGTGAGATCCAAGTGTCCTATTTATCTCAAATGATTTTGATGGCTGTCTCTCCCCCAGCCCCCACTTGATTTAATTTCAAGGGTGTTATTTTCTTAGGTGGAGAGGGCCATTTAAGGCTTAAGGATCACTGCAAGGACAGGTGCGAGGTGTGCAAACTCTTAGAATAGTGATTTTTCAAAAATGTATAGAACCTGAATTCTGGAAACGGTAGGTTAAGTTGACATTGACCCCGAGGAAGAGGCTAGAACAGAAAGTTTTAAAGTTTACACTATATTGTGAGTAGGATAACATATTCACAGTTCAGAACTCAAGAGAGACAAAACGTTAGTTGAAAAGTTTCACCATGTTGCTCTGTCACTTAGAGGGGCCAGTATGATCAGTTTTTATCTGTTCTTCCAGAGATAATGTATATAAGCAGTTATGTATAAAAGTCCTTCCTTTTATTTTTCGCAAGAGGGTAGTATGTTATCACTTAACACTTGGAGTGCGGGTGAATTTCCCGCCAAAATATAAGATGGCTCTGTCTTTTGGTTTTGTTCCATCCACCAAAAGGGTGGATTACAAACAAATATTTGGTAATACGCAGTTACAATCGGCCCGAGTTTACACGTTTCCCGCACTCCACCGCAAATCTATATGAACCGAGTTAAAGACGGCTCCCGCGGAGTACGCGTGAATTTATTATATAGGACTAGAGGCTCGGTGCACAAATATAAGTCAATTTCACTATGTCATGGGATTCAATAAATATTGAGTATCAATTAGGTACTTGGCACTGAGGTCTCATTAATATATGTATTTTTAAATAATGATTGGCCCACCCTAGCCGGCTTGGCTCAGTGGATAGAGTTTCGGCCTGTGGACTGAAGTGTTTCGGGTTTGATTCTGGTCAAGGGCATTTGTCTGGGTTGCAGGCTTGATCCCCAGTAGGGGGCGTGCAGGAGACAGACAATCAATGATTCATCGATGTTTCTATCTCCCTCTGAAATCAATAAAAAAATATTTTTAAAAAATGGCCCACAGGAGGTTACAATAATAGTACGAAGAGGAAGGGAGTGACAAGGTACCTGTACCCTGTTTCCCCCAGTGGTTACATCTTACATGATTATAGTACAATATTAAAACCAGGAACTTGATGTTGGTACAGTGATTGGCACTTGTCTTACAAGAAGTAGAGCAGTGAATGAAACAAAGTCCTTTTTCTGGCTCTAATGGGATTTAAATTTCCTGTGTTGTGTGTGGGGTAGACAAATTGAAGACATTGAAGCATGCAACAGACTGACATATTTCAGAGGGAAGGAGGGGGGGTGCAGGAAGAGACTAACCAAACAATTTATATGCATACTAGAGGCCTGGTGCACGAAATTTGTGCATGGATAAGGTCCCTAGGCCTGGCCAGTGATCAGGGCCGATCTGTGGGGTGACTGGTGGGGCGATTGTGGGGTGGTGCTGGCCTGCTCACTGGTTGG